CCTCGCGCTCGCCCGCCTGGAGATTCCTTTGAGTTCCGATTGAATAATACATAGCGGGGCGCAAATGAAATTCCCGATATTTGACTTCTAAGCTCTCCGGCTCTGGAACGAAAGCTAAACTCTCCCTGGCTGGCTGGCTCTGCCCTGCGAAATTACGATTGCCCGGAGTTGCGAGTGTACCGGAGCCGAAATTCAGAAGCGGAAAGAGACGGAAACGCACTTTCGCGTCTAAGAGCCTCCGTCGGGCGGTCTGCGGACGGAGGAACGCGGTCAAGAGTTTGGGAGATCGCCCGTCCGAACTATTTCCCACCGGTGAACTGCTAACGCAATAAAACGCAAACGAGCGGCCAAATTGAACCGCATGATGTATACAAGGAGACCGATGTGTCGGAGAATGCTAATCGAATTGCCGGTCCGAGATGATCTATCGCTGGCTGAGTTAACTCATTTGTAAAACAATTTGGGAGTCGTCGGGTCATCCATTATGACACATTATGCTGGGCGCACGCACGCTTAAATAGGTCAAAGCTGCCTTTAAAGCTTCACGAGCGATGATAATAATGCGCCCAGGGAGGCACGAAGTTTGCGGATCACGCGACATTCATAAATTTTCCGCAGCGATAGCAAACCGTACATAAAATTTGTTATCACGGATCGCATAAAAAATACGTATTACAAGTCAAATATAGAATTGCATGTTATTCGTAAAATAATGAGAAGGGGCCTGTTTTCACTCGAAAATTGTGCCCGCAAGCACTATTCTGGCATTGACAGTTTTTCGGTTGTCAATGTACGCGGCAGCAGATTGAATTATTGTTATTGAAGGGAGAATAATTTAAAAATGTCTTTTTTCTGTGACAATTTTAATTCACGTCTTTGCATTAATTCGTAATTTTGTATTAATTCGCATTATTGGTAATTATTTGTAAGGACAGTGTTTGCTTTGAAAATTATGCCTCGAACTTGACAATTTACGTAAGACACTTCCGAAGTGGTGAATGTTTTTAAACACGTTCACAATACGGCGATAAAGCCGACATTTCCAGTCTTATCAACGACATGCGTTGTCGTAATGCGAAATGTTCACAATATAATTTTATCTCTTAGAAACTCGTGAAAATTGCATACATGTGTTATCCTTGTACTGACATTCGTTTCTTGCTCGATGTATGTCCATGCGACGAGATCGCTACCAGTCCGTCTTCGTCGAGATCCATATCAATTTGTTGAGGTGAATACCAGCTATCGTGTATTGAATGATTGCATAATTCAATCCTGAAGGCGAACAGTGCCGCCGCAAGCTTTTATTTATGTAAAGTTAGATACGTTTAATTAGAAAAAAACAGTGGATAAGTGACGATGAAGGTGGGAAGTGGGGTGTTATTTCTTACGCCGGTGTGTAATTTACTAGTCAGACCTGTTTCTTGCGTAATGCCACAGTTATATACTTTAAACGCTCCTTTCTTCCAGCCATAGACATACAGCCTTTTTTAACGTATGAAATATATTACAGTATGACATACATCGCGACAGATCAGGTTTGCAAATTCGACCATCAGCTGAATCCCATATCTATTTCCACGTCGGCGTGTTCTCACGACGGGCCATATCGACGCGCCATCTCGTCAGAGGCCAAGAAATGTATAGGGCATTGCCAAGACGGATTAGGATTCGAGTAGAGACTGTTCGGACCTCTCAAAAACGATCTCGTGCCGATCTCGGAGCCGTAATGATTAATGGAGTTAGGGAGCCGCGCACAGTCCCGTAATACCGTGGCAACTATCGAGTCGGAATTACAGTTGAGAAACTGCGAGGTGAGTTAAGGGAACCTTCGTCGTCGTCTCAGTCGGGAGGATTCTCTCGTCTCTCTTTGGCTTCGCAGCCATCCGATCACGTACCAAGCTTGATTTGATTTTGATTCGACGTACACTAGAAACGCATTTAATACACGTGCTTGCGTGCGGTGTGCGCGTGTATCGACTAAGAACGAGCGTCTGCCAGCGGCCGATTTGACGATAAGACCGCAATCCCCTTTTCACCGCCGTGTGTGTGTATATATATTTTTATTTTTTTTTGCACATATTTTGAAATTGCGCTCAATGAAGATTCATTCGAGAAGTCTGCGATGATCGCATCTGTGTAATTTTATTAATCATTGTCGTTCACAACGAGCATTCTGTTTTTATGCACAGTAAAAAAATATGTTGTATTTGTGCTAAAATCGGTCCTTTCTTAAACTAAGACTAAAACTTTCGTGTCAAATTTTTAATGTGTGTTAATTTAAAATATCGTGTTTACGTTATTTCAATATTTTGTATTGAGTCGATATTTAAATGTTAAAATAACACATTTTATACTTTAATGTCAATTCACATATTACGGATATTAATTTTATGTTAATTTTTGCTTTATTCTTTTTTTGTTACTTTTCAACAAATTCACAATTCACAAATAACACAAAAATCTATGTGGGTCGGTTTGGAAATGCGAAATATGTTAAATTTAACATAACATTTTTTACTGTGTGTAGATTGACAAAGATAAACTTTTTATAATTAGCAATTTTTAATCAGCGAAGCTCTCGACGTTCCGTGTGATTGTTGTGAATTATTAATGCGAACATTAATCACAATATATTGCGAGTCTTTTTCTCAACGCTGCATGTAAGTTTTTGATTAACTAATTGCGTTCTCGCCGGCGATCGTACGGAAAGATAAACGGTTTCCTCTATTGACCTATACGTACAGTTGGAGTTAACGTTCGTCCAGGCTCTCGGACACGGTGTGAACGTGCTTAATCTGCATAATTTCAATCCCCAACGCAACACACACGGCTATGTACTCGGAACCTACGCGTTTGCGCACTGTACACACATCCGCACATTGGTCCAAGCGATTCCACTAATATCGAGAATTGTTTGCCGAGCTGAAATAGTTTGGCTTGAGACTTCCGGCATTGCTTCTTCCGCCGTTGTAATCATGCGTGTAGATATCGGTCGCTGTTTCCTGCAGCGAGCATCTTGCTATTGCTCTGTTGCTGCACCCGCCGCAACTCTCTCGGGTGGAATTCGATCGTGTTAACCTGTATTTATTTCTGATCGAACTTGTGGAAACACATTTGCCACGATCGTTTCCAATATACCGTGTTCTCGAGTTCTCGCAATTCCCGCATTACACTTTTCATTTTATGGATGACGGTTCTGAACACTCGTTGATCTTGTGGCAACGTTGAAAAAGTACATAAACACGATTGCGCCATCAAGGCTATGTTTATGGCCCGACACAACGTCGTCAGGCGACCTTGATATTTAATTTCGGCGCGTTTTTTTTTATTACAGCGACCGGTTTTACGATTCAGATTTGCTTAAAATTATACGTGGATGAACTTACAAACCGCATATCATTATATACGACCTTGCTAAAGTTCATGGGCAAAGCTGGTCAGGCGGCATTTTTAGCGAAAATCTTTCATAAACCAATCCATGTTTCTTGGAAGCATTGTATTTTCTCGCCGTCTTTCCAAATACTAATCGAAAAATTATATTCTGCTGTTTAACAACTTGTTATTCTGCAAATGACTTTACGGTAAAATAATTGTTACTAAACTGAATTATTTTAAGATGATAATGTTTCACAATTAACTTTTATCGCCGGAAATGAGTTGTTTAACGTATCCACACGATCTGTGAAACGCTTTCGACAGTTTAAAATAATTTGAAAAGTAAATATTCTTCTGTTTCATACAAGATATGATTTGCAATAAAAATTTGATAGACATTTTTCTCATAAGAAACCAAGGTCGCCATGAATTTTTTAAATAGCACCATGCAAGTTTTCCATAATAATTTTCGTAATTTTATAATATAAAGGATTTTAAGACAAATTCAACACATTATCTGGAATGTCACTTTCACTAATATATTTTATTATGTTTAATATTAAATTTATAGCATTATTTTAACAATTCATTTTTGTTATTGAAATAACGATCCATATCCACTTCGAAAAAAGATTCGAAGAATACCAATAATCACTTATGATAGATATATATTTGCAACGCAAATGTAGTTCCCAAGCAACCTTTAGTGTTTATATTTACATTTTCAGTCAAATCTTATAAGTATTATAAGTATTTAATATAATGCTGCAAATTTGATATTAAATATCAATAAAAGTGATATTCCCGATAATGCATTAAATTTGCTTTAAAGTCCTCAACGATATTTTGAAAAAATAATTGCATGATGCCATTTACAAAATGCAAGGTGACTGACATTTTATGAAAAATAAATTTTGCTAATTTTTTATTGCAATTAAATGTTTGCAATGCAATGTTTTTTTTATTGAAAATTGTAGCTGGTATGAAACAGATGAATATTTATCTTATAACTTTTTTGTACATTTCCGGTAGTAAAAGTTAATTGTAAAAGATTTTCGTCTTAAGGTAGTCCGGTTCAATAATCGGATCGTTACGATGAACATCCAGTATTTATGTGTTAATCTGCATAAACGCTACATAATTATATAATGAATCCTATACGTGCGATAATGCAGTCGAAGTCGAAATGTATCATTCTTCACCTTGAAAGTTCTAACGTGTATTAATTTCAGCCGATTCACGATTTCCTTGTTAATCAGTTTTTATGCAGTGAGTTTTCATGTTTTAAAGATTTTTATTCTACAGAATCATGAGTTGGCTACGTAATTATATTCCGATTGCTATATCCATTGACTTTGCTCGATTCCGATAAGATCGGGACAGGATCATAAATTACTACGAATGCAAACGGAGAAATACATCTGCAAAACTCCCACCTTGGTGAGGCCTACAAATGTCACCTGTTCGGTTTTGCGAGGTTCAGTCTGAGCGTGTCTCTTCGGTTGAGACTGCGTTAACGATTGTTGTTTCTAAATTTCAACGATCATATCACGATGAGATTAATTCACCAATTTTCCTAGACTTATATTTTATTTTGTGAATTTTGAAATCGATCAACGCTGCGGAAAATATTATATTTCCCCTTTCTGTGTTAATATCAATAAGTAAGTATACATAAAACGAGTTGGAATAATTATACTTAATTTTATGGAACAGCAACAGAATCCACATATTTTGCATGCAGAAAATAACTTTGACCCGAGGAAAGTTAGTAACCGCAAATCGATACTTATTAATTATAATTGCATTTCGCATCTATTCGCGTATATCAAGATTAAATATGCATTGTTTATGAGAATTGTTTATAGGAAATTTGCTATTTTATGTAGATTTCACGATTGATTTCTCTGACGGCGAGATTAATTTATCAAGCTGAATTGACACATATCGATCAAAGTCACGCAAAGTAGCGAAGAATTCAATATGCGTGACGGTTTTCTTCTATTATAGAATGAAACTGATCACCGGTATCCCGCCGATCATCGTCGCCCTATGGTTCCTGATTATGAGCGACCTGGCACACAGCAAGAGGCTATTGATCATTACCCCGGCTCCGTCCTATAGTCATCAGATAGTATTTCGGGCACTGTGTCTCGCTTTGCATAAACGGGGACATGAGATAGTAGTATTGACTCCCAACATCCTAAACGATCCTACGTTGGCCAACTACACGGAGATAGATTTTGGCTTCGAATACGAGAAGATCGACGACACCGACTTCAGTCAGATCCGTTGGAACCTCACGCAGCTAGGCGGCCTGAAGACGAGATTGCTGAGACTGGGTCACGATATCGCGGAGGATGTTCTTAGTCATCCCGATCTCGTCAAGCATTATGCGAACGGGACCGGCGCGCAATTCGACGCGGTAATAGCGGAGATGATCATGACTCCCGCGATCTACATGTTGGCGCACAGATTCAACGTCCCATTAATAGGTAAGACGGATCAAAGATCGTTATCACCGGAGATTGGGGAGAACGTTAAGGGTGGCCGACTATCGCGGATATTATCGTCGCGAAAAACGAACGAACGAATATTCGAACCGCAGGTATCATGTCCATGGATCTGCAAAACTGCCATCGCTTCAATCTCGGCAGCCCTGTGATGCCGTCGCATCCCTCCAACTGGGAGATCGAGAACCTCACGGGGCTGCACTTGCCGTTTTGGAGGCGACTGATAAATTTCGTCAAGACTTGGTGGAACATATATTCGTGGTTCAATAATTTCGCGAACAAGCAACAGGAGATCGCCGAGAAATATTTCGGCAAGGATATACCGCATATCGTCGACCTTGCGAAGAACATGAGCCTCATCCTGATCGATCAAGAGCCATTGCTCGCGTACGCGAGACCCGAGATCCCGAATGTCGTTCACTTCAGTGGTCTGCACATCATGAAGTCACCGCCGGTGTTATCAAAAGTACGTGCAGTGACGCGACGAAGTTCCCCTATGATTAATCTTTCATTTTCGCACAGTTTCAAAACGCCGTAAGAACACGAGGAAAGAAAACAGCCATCTGTGAAAGCTTTCGTTCGATCCGCAGGATCTGAAGAATTTCTTGGACGGCGCAACGAACGGTTTCGTTTACATGAGCTTGGGAACAAACGTGAAGAGCAATTTATTGCCGAAGGGAATGCTGCAAACATTTACCAATGCCTTCGCCAGCTTGCCGTACAGGGTGCTGTGGAAATTCGAGGACGACAACCTCGAGACGCCGCCTAACGTTTTTATCTCAAAGTGGATCCCACAACAAGGAGTATTGGGTAAGTACGCAAGCGGAGCAATAGAAACAAGCGCGAGCACGATGGGGAAAGTGCCCTATTATTGGGTTTGCCATTTGTAATTGTTTAAATTCTGACCGAATGGGGCCGTTAAAAATTTTGACAAAATACATTTCACACTCCTTATACTGTTACTTTGTTATGTCCTTTTGCAATTTACAATAACTTTTTATGTAGAGGAGTTATAAAATTATATGTTCGTTTCTAAAGGTTCCTAATTCCGGGTATGGTGGATTTCTAATTTCCGACTGTCTATAAATATAGAAAATGAATAGGAAATAAAATCAATTTTTAATACAATTTTATTTCTCCTAAAAAAAATGTACCGTGGAAAAATTACAAGGTTGAAGGAAAATATTTTTTTGTAAAAAGAAATATTTTCCTTCAACCTTGTTATTTTTCCACATTACATTTTCTTTTTTTTGAAATAAGAGAAATAAAAGAAACGTATGAAACGTGATGAAAAGTAATGTAATGAACGTGAAATAAAACAGAATGCAATTAAATAAATTTGATAAAAAAGAACACTGATAAATTTAATAAAGAAAAAAATATTGAGCAACTTCCTGTTATCCGGAATGCGGAATGCGTGTCTCTGTGTTAGCCAACATAATCTAACTCTGAACAGCAGTGGAGTATTTTTTAAATAACGCATAAAAGCAGTGTGCTTTAAACTAACTTTTGACATAAACATTACTTTAGATATCTCTTATCTTAACTACATAATGGATTTGCGCAGGAAATTCCGAAGAATGTTTCTTTTCATCACGAACGAAATCACAATTTCAAAACCGGCGTGATGCACGTACCGCGAACCGGCTGAAAATAATTGTTAGCCATAGCTTTCCCCACTAGTTACATGAGTCAGTTGCAGAGTGCAGCGCTTAAGATTCAAGAAAAGCACCTACCCGGAATTAAGAAACCATCCGGAATTCGGGCACTTTCCCCTATAAGACGATATTTTATATCTAACTACCGGGATTATTAATTATGTTTTTACTTATCTTCGTAGCTCATCCGAACATTAAAGTCTTCATTTATCAAGGCGGATTACAGAGCACCGAAGAAGCGGTTCACTACGCTGTGCCGCTCATAGGAATACCATTTGTTTTCGATCAGGTGTATCAAGTTATAAAAATGGTCTCGCTGGGTGTCGCCAAACATTTGGATATAATAGAACTTACGACGTCGGAACTGCGCGACACCGTGTTAGAAATCGCCAGCGATAAGAGGTAATATATCCTCTTTCCCCTCCCCAACCCGCACGTTATTCCGCTGCCTGTATGATGATCTTCCGCAGTAATCGCGCTTCTCTTCGTGCGGATGGAGAGTCACGATCGTGATGTAAACCGTGTGCCGCAACTAACGTGTATTTGGCATTCTGTTTGCAGATACAAAGATAAGATGTTGGCGCTACGTGCCCTCACAAAGGACAAGCCTTACGATAGTTTGGAGAACGTCATATGGTGGATAGAGTACGTAATGCGTCACAATGGTGCGCCCCATCTGCGTTTCAACGGAGTCGATACCGCATGGTATAGGCAATTTGATTTCGATATCATCGTGTTCCTAGCGATAGCATCGTTTCTGTCTCTCTGCGCTCTCTTAGGCGTCTTGATGCAAGTGTCGAGATTATTGTACAAGTATCACGACAGAATATCGTTCGCAAAGAAAAAAATGAAATTGATGTGAAACATTTTTTGCAAATTAGTGGAAAAGAATCGACAAATTGTTGTTGCGTTCATCTTATCTATCGTTGTTGCGTGTTCTTGTATTTTCCGGTTTTTTTGAAAAGTTAAGTATAAAATATGAACGGTCTTATCGATTACTATTGCATTGAGAAAACAATTTTATTTTATTCTCTAAAATTTAACCTAAAAGTCGACAATAATGTAAAGTCACCTTCGCGCAACGTTATCAAGTGATGTCGTTGAAGTCCATTAATTGAGCTAAAATCTTGACATAGCATTTCACACACATATTATCTCTCCATTACTCTAGTTATTACGTTGGCTCGAGCGTAATTCGATTTAACGATAATATTACCGTGCTTAGGAAAAGAGAAAGAAGTGCGTAAATGTCATTTTGCCAAATACTATATCAAATTGTCGCAAAATGGTCGCGGAAGTGAAAAGAGCCTTTTCATCTCTCGAGCCACTCGGCTGTGAATTTTACGATGGATTTTACAGTACTCGTTTATACGAAAAACAGAAAAGCAGGACAAAGAAAGTGAGAGAGAGCAAATTTCGGAATAGAAGCAGAGCAAATATAAAATTGCCATTTGAGTGGAATGAGTTTTGTGGAATGAAATTACGTCTCGAGGCCTATTATATGCATTTATTCGTGTGTATTTATAATATTAGAAGACGTAGAAAACAGGAGGAAATAGATATATAAGTAGATAAATAAATAGAGATAAGGGAACTCGGAGAGCCGCGGGATAAGGTGGAAAAACGCTATGTACTCATGTAGGAATCGTATACAATCAGCCAGTACAGAATACTGGCACAATATTAAAACTTTGGTATCGGTTCAGTATTAAAAAGAAAAAAAAACAAACAGTATAATCGGTATTAGCCTTATACCCAGAATCGATACTGGCTACTTTTACCATGCTCGTACTATGCCGGTATCGAAAAATGGACGTTATATTTTGATACTGGCCCAGTACGGGTTCAATATTAAAAAAGCGGTATTATCGATATTGGCCTCCTACTCAGAATCAGTGCTGGATAGTTGTATTATGTCCATACTGAGCCGGTACTCAAAAGCATGTTTCAATATTAGCTGGTACTGTTTAGACAACACACAATATTTATAATATAATTCAGATATGAAAAAGATTACAATAAATATTGGATACTGCTGAAGTGTCGTTAATTTATGTTACACCAATGTCTCAAATAGGAAAACAGAAGATGTTACTAATATGAAGTCTAAATAGACCATTGGTAAGAATAGTTGCCTTGGCAAGCCAAAAATCCGAGTTCGATGCCAGCCATGTCTACGTCGTTCCAACATTTTCTCTCTCGTATGAAATTAAAAGTGGTCATCTATAAATATAAACAAACAACATCCCGGCCATAGTTTTCGACTGTCCCATCCATGAGATATTAACAATTATTCAGTAATAATAATCATTATTGAAAGTCGGTACTGTTCTAATAACCGGGGGAAGCGATTATTTGTTTTACTGATTTTCGATGCTGATATTTGGTCCTGACCCAGTATTGGCCTATTTATATCATTTATATCGTTCTAGTATTGAATCAGTATTTGAATCTAGTACTAGTATAAATCGGTACTGAGTGAATAGTTTGCTAGTAGCAAATTCCTACTAGAATAGAAATAAATATATTTATAAATATAATTACAGACTTTGACTTGGACATATGGGAGAGAAAGAGAGAGAGAGAGAGAGAGAGAGAAGGGGAGAGGGAAGGTGGAAAGAAAGGGAGGGAGGGAAGGAGACTGAGTGGTTCGTCAAATTTATCAGTATTGAACATGCGAATCTTGTGCAAGATTTGACATTAAGGAAAAATGTAGTAAGATTTATTTGTGATTTATGTCAACAGGGACAGAAATCATCTTGCCTTCAATGTTGTCTTATCCTCGATGCTACCCCGTTTTACTTCGAATTGTGAAGCAAGATAGTCAGCATTAAAAAAAAATAGGTTTCCTATTTTTGATGTTTTGCTCTCAATTTGGTTACATAGCATCAAAGTTTAGTTAATGTTGATTTAGAAAAAAAATAAGTATCTCGATTAAGATTGTTTCGTTTTAATTAAATCTTTCTCTTAATGTCCTCGTCTTACCTCAAGTTCCCCTAAATTGAAAGAGGAATAGGAAATGAGATAGAAAAAATCGACTACGAGATTATTTTGTACGATTGTATTGGATTGTAACAGGTAATTCCAAGTTTTCCAAGATAAAATAAAATCTTCTCTGTATTTTTACATTATTACATTTCTACAAAACATTGTGGGCGCTGTTTTGATCCATCGTCTGTCGCATACATTGTCTCATAAATTTGTAACGACCTAAAAATACAATCCTTTCATTTTACCCGAAAAATACGGAATTACTTGTCGTACACACACAGCCTGATACTTTCGAATCGCACGTTAATGTCCAAATATACGCACTGCAACGAGATTGGTCGCCAGACGAGAGACATGAATATACCGAGCGGATAACAGAGACGCGTACGCGACATTATAGCTACAAGACACGCGACTACAGAGCTTCGTATTATCGAGCAACACCGTTAACAGAAACGCAGTTAATTATTATTCTATAATATAGCGGATAACGGGAACGTCATTTGGAGGTGCGCGGAGGTACGCGTGAACGATCCATCCTCCCGGTAGGATCGCGCGGCCGGCGTAGAAATTGAAAATTGAATTAGTTTCGGAAACGGCGCTAAGTGTCAGATGTTATTGTTAACATGACCGATGCGTTCCGAATATCCGGTTAATGAGGCTCCCTTTGCCCTGCCCGGCCTCCGCGCGCACGTCCATTTGGCAGATGGACCTAATTCAGAGTGCAAGGATCCATTAACACGTATATTCGCCCCAAGGAACGTATAGCGCGATAATGTATACGATGCTAACATCGCGCACGTACACAGGGCCAAACGCCGCCGAGCGAGGCCCACACGTATTCTATGAACATTGCAGCAACAATTAGGAGAGACCCCTTTGCCATCGGGCGGAATACATATCTACGGCCATTTCAAGTGCTCCGTGTGAAACCCTATGCGAATCGCGAGCACGTACACACAAGTGCACACAGCCCAGCACCGTTTACTATGGCATTCATCGCGGTTGTAACGTAGTCGCGCACACGCTGCGGCGCACCAAGTTTCCGCCTCGCCGGCGAAACTTGGCCCGGCTAATCAAGCGCTATCGATCAGCCCCCCTCCGGCGGCTCGCGAATGATCGGTTAAGAAAAAAATTCCGGGTTAATCAGCCGAATCGGGGCGCGAAGTACGAAATTTAATATCGGCCAGATTTCACCGGGCACTATTCTCGATTCCGCTCGCGCGGGTTCTGTACGGCTCCGGGCGAGGAAAACGTCAATGGTGGATGGCGCGCGAATTAACACGCCCGCCGTCGCGGTGATTTCGACGCGGCCTGTGAATTTTCAGTCGGTCGGTGGTGCGAAAATGAGAGAGCAGCCCTGACGGCCGAAAAACGTGGTGCACGTGGCCCGCCGTAAATAACATTGAAGTCTATTGAAAGTTTTTCAATTATTTCGATATCTTCCAACGGCAGAGATCGGTCGCGTTATCGGCACTAGTAACGGAGCGGGAGATAGCTCTAAGAGGAAGTTCTCGCTTTCCGTCTTGAGCGCGTCCCGCCGGCCGCTCGCTTCCGCTCTTGGCGAACATTTCATAAATAAGCCTTTGTGCGAGCCATCTGGAAATTGAATTGGAAAGTTCGCCTCGCCTCCCGCACACACCGTGGGAAAGCTGAAAACGACACCGTGGCTCGGCGCGCGACGCGCTCGACCGGCAACGGCGGGCGTCAATTTTCCGGACAATTTTTCCGTCGCGCGCGCGCCTCGGTACACCATCGCGGCGCGCTTCGTTTATTCGCATTCAACCGGCTGAAATCTCGTTTATTACCCGTGCCCGTATGCAATTTTGTCCGATGCTTCACCACGCCGTCGAGAGCCACCGGTAGCTCGGCTTTTTCAACCGCGAGGCGTCGTAGTACGACGGCAAAACCGGAGTTTTACCAGCGCATCCTCGACGAAATTCTCGACGCATTGCGCGAGAATAATGTTCGCCCGGCCGCTTGCCCGTTCAATTCGCCGTAGACACGCGGAGCGATGCCGCTGTTATTGTCGATGCAGACGTTTATTGTATTTGTCATCAATGTTGCGCCGCGCGCCACACCGGCGATAATGCAATTCCCGGGGCCGCGCGCTAACGAAAGCAACATCTCGCGACACGCGCCTTGTTCCGGTTATACTCGTTGCTATACGTATATTAATCAAACTTTCGCGACACGTCATCGTGACGACACGCGACGCGCGGCATAGATGCGAAAAATCAGGAAGTGCGGTTTAACCCTTTTGCTTCCACGTAACACAAATTTTTTTTAAACATTCAACCTTATATCTTTTAACGAAAAAATCATATGAAAATTTATCAAATATCATTTCTTCTAGATTTTGACCTCCTCTTTCGAATGCCGTTGAGAAATTTTACCCAAATCGAAAGCCGGAAAAGTTATAGGCTGTTGGTGCGAAAAAATCACAAATTTTTCACGGTTTTTTTTAAAATGTTTATTTCAAGTTGGAAAAAATTTGCACACGCCATCACAATCACCATAAACGGTGTTATAGATGTCTGCTCTTACGATTCTGTGAAAATTTCGCAGCGTCCGGAACCTATCGGAGTATGGTTTGGTATTAGGAGAACATGATCAGCGACGAGGTTAAGGAGTTGAGTTACGCAAGATCCTCGCTCATTATATTCTTCTGATACGATTCTGTGAAAATTTCGCAGCGTCCGGAACCTATCGGAGTTTGGTTTGGTATTAGGAGAACATGATCAGCAAGGAGCTTAAGGATTTGAGTCACGCAAGCTCCTAGCTCGTTATATTCTCCTGATACGATTCTGTGAAAATTTCGCAGCATCCGGAGGCTATCGGAGTTTGATATTAGGAGAACATAATCATCCAGCAGCTTAAGGATTTGAGTCACGCAAGCTCCTCGCTCGTTATATTTTCCTGATACGATTCGGTG